TACTAGTCTCCCTTTATTTATTTATCAGCACAAACACAACACACACACACACACACACACACACACACACATTCCATTTTTTGAAGTAATTGTCAACTTTTTCTCCCACTCATTGCAATATAGGAGAGTCAGATGCTCAAATCTTTTTGGTTCCCATAGCAGACTCTGCCTAGAATGTCTTCCCACGATTTAAATAAGCAAAACTACAGGCTTATTTTTTGATATTTCACACCGTTCCTTACAGTTGACATGGAGTTTCCAGATGGCCCTCATCCACATGCTGAAGAGAACTTAAATATTACACTGAACCATATCCCAGAATCAAGTACTATTGTTTAATTCATTAGCTTTAATTCAATTCAATTCAATTTCATTAAAGTCTCTGTAATATAAATATAGTGACACTGCTAATAAGTGAAATGAACAAATTATTTGTTTTACATTAATTAGGGCTAGTTTGTGCTACCTATGGGAAGCCTTCTTCGAGTGAATTATTTCTTCCCCAAGAGATATGAAAGAAAAGATTTTTTTTCTCCCTCGGTTCTGTTTCTTATTTTTATGAGAAGCTTTTCTTTAAATACAGATCTCTCTAGGCCCCCCTCAGGGTTTTTTTCACAGCAATCTGACATGCATTACCTTGAATACATCTCTGGCATCTGTTGTATAAACATTTGTGTGAATTTACCCAATTAGCTGATCGAAGGGGGGGAAAGGAACATCATGAAACTATTATGTTATGTAACCTTCGGTTGAACTTTTGAAGTGTTCAACTTGCTTTTGTGGAAATAAACTTGTGAAATCAGTAGACACAATCCAGAAATCCTATCCCCGTGATGGACAACCTATGGCACACATGCCAGAAGTGGCACACAGAGCTATCTCTTCAGGCATGCCAGCCGTCCTCCATTGCTCTTCCAGGTTCCAGCATGTGGATGAGCCAACTGGTCTTCCTGTGTGCATGCATGCCAGAAACTGGAAGACCAGGTGACCAGCGAGCATGCGCATCAGGGGTGGGTTCCTACCACTTCTAACCTCTTCTATAGAAGAGGTTCCCCAAATCTACAGTGCTGTTTAGAACCGGTTCCAGCTCCCTCCCCCTGCCCATCTGCACATCATCAAGATGAAGAGCGAGAGGAGGAATTCTGGGAGTTGAAGTCCCCAAGTCTTAAAGCTGTCAAGTTTAAACCCCCTGTTTTTTTTTTTACTAAAGGGTTGGGGG